TAAAATAATAGTACTTAATTATAATTGTCAATGATTTATTTAATGCTACTATCATAGTATTTATTGTTTATTTTATGGAAATATAACATGGTGGCAGCGTGAACACAATGAGTGATAATAATTAAAGCTAATTCTTGCCAAAATAGTTGCGCAACAGACAACTCTCCTGCAAAGCATGCAGGAGCAAATTGAAAAACTAGCGCCACAGGGTCATTATTAGAGGTAAAATTATATTGTTCATGAGTAAAATTTCTATGATTATATGACTAAAGATGTTAATTATTAAGGTTAACCATCACAACTTTCATATAGATTTACAAGGGTAATATGTAAACCTTACCATCTCCAAGGGAATGGATAGGCTGAATTCACAGTAAAAATAGCAAAAAAATATTATACAAAGCTACAGAAAACGGAGAAGATTTCTGTCTCAGTATTTTTTTTGCTTAAGAAATACTCCTAACAAAGTTTTTTCCAGTCCCTCACAAAGTTTTTCACGTAGAATAATAGACTTTCTACCAATCAGCCATAGTTGAACCAAATAGAGTGAAGGATAACCAAAAAAAAGTTAAAGGTGAAATATAGTTACAGTAAAAGGGCTAACACTGTAACGCCATTAGAGATAGGTCAATATATCTATATACACATATAATGGTCATTAAACTATAACATACCTACAACAGAAGCTAATGTACTACCTATGATGACAATAATTTACTAGATCAAAATGAGGGTAATGAGGATAAAATTACCCCACACACACCACACACGAATTCAACACAACACAAAATCTATGCAAGAAATTCCCAATGGTCAGGCCAATTTAATTCATCATAACACTCTAGCACCTCCATCTAGATCCCACGTATCAAAACCTATAAAATATTAATAATAGACCTAAGAAACAAACCATTATTATACCTTGAAGATTGTGTATGTTGAGTATTCCACTGTTACTTCATTTTTCATAAAATTGAAGTTAGAAAACTTTAACTATGTTCCGATTGCTAGTTCAATGTTTAAATCCGAGGTTTTAGTCTAGTTTTGCTTCTTTCTGTATTAACAATTATGATTGTAAGTGTATTTTATTTTTTAACTAATACTATTATCATTATTATGCATGTCATGAAAATGATCTGATTTTTGGTGTGTTAAACAAAAGAACTCATATATTTTTTATTTAAGACAGCGTGTTGTAATGAATAGGTGTCCACAGCCAATAATACAATTTACGTTTGTTTGATTACTTTTACATTAATTTATTTTAACCGTGGCTTATATAAATTTTTTTGTCATATTATGTTATCTAAAATATTCTTAAAGAGATAGCATTTTATAAAGAAATTATTTCATTTCTTTTGATTTCAAAAGTTACATTGGTGCAAATCAAAGCTTTAATTTTCTCAAAGCCAAGTTCATTGCATTCATTGGTGTGAAATGTAACAAAAAAGATCATTTCCATCAGAATTTAATCATACTGTGTATTTTGAGATGGCTCAGACGTAGAAGGAAATATATAAATGAAATGTGCTACAATGTCACTGAGATTAAAATTTTCAGCAGGGGCAGTCAAAAGGAGTCTTCAATATTTATTTCTCTTTCAATATGAGATTTTTTATTTTCAATACCTACCTTAATATGTTATGATTATGAACCTATCTGCGTGAAAAACAGTTATTATTCTTTTTCGTTTTCTTGTAATATCAATTTAAAGGGTTGTGTTTTCCTGTCGTATATCATTATTAAAACGTTTTCTCGTGAATACAGTTGAGTTGGAAATAATGTGAAACAATTACAAACGCGTTTTAGACCTGGTTAAAAGTATTTTAATTGATAATTAGTGAGCGTGAATAAATAAGAAGTAAACAGCTTTCAATTATAATAGGTTTTCTCATTTCAGTGAACCTAAAAGTAAATTATAAAAGTAATATAATTATAATTTGTACCTTATATCTTTCTTGTTAACTATGAAATTAAAAAGTTTTTTTTATGGATAGTTCCGACAAATGACTCCGCCCCACCTGTGGCGGTGAAGTCCAGACGTAAAGATAGCTGGTACAGCAGTTCTACCTGCCACACCAGCTATCCTCACTGTGCCGGCCTGCATGTTGCCTCTTCACGACCCTTTTATAGAATCCCAGGTTATAAGAAGGAGGGAACACGTGAGCGGGCAGAGCATTCCATTTACGGATAGTGCAACAAAGAAATGAATCACCAAATTTCTTTGTACGTGTTGGAATTGTGGCCATAGTTAGATGGTGACCACGTAGGCCAGCGCGCGTGATCCTCTGAAGGAAAGGGGAAGGTGGAATAACAGACAATAACTCCTCAGCACACTCGCCATGGCACCGTCGATAGGACGCGCTTGGTGACGCCACGTCACGGCGTTGTATCTGATCATGTAATAATTTAAATTTATCTAAGCTGTCACTTGATACCGTAAGCCCCGTAACAAATAAATTTCTATTTCAACATGAAACTCTTACGTAAACATCATAGACCAAATTGAATGAGATACAAATTAGAGCATTAATTGGATAAAAGATTTCCTTTATGCTAATTTAATTAAAATGTTCATTTATTTCAAAATTAAAACAGTAAATATCATAAATTTGTTTGGAACGCTTTTTTCTTTAAGAACCTTGTATAACAGTAAACCTTGTGTACCTAACATGGAGATTATTGTTTGTCTTAACTAAATGAGAAATTCTAAGAAAGGTTATTAATTTCACTGTTTTTAATAGAGAATATTTTGAATGCCTATTTCTCTTTCTCTCTTTATAGTGTAATTTGATACAGACAGCAAAGGTATTGATTTTTAGAACCTCTCGAATTGTAACAACTTCAAACGCTTTTACTGGTTCGACTTAATTTTGAGCGAGTTACGATTTCTGCTTGTGTCAGAAAAGAAAATAGCCCATGGAAATATTTGGCGAGTCACCGGGTCATAGGTAGAACAGTGTTCAAACGTCATTAGAGTGATCGATCGCCAACGAAGAGAAAGAAACTCGTTTGTCATGAAAAGACACTAAATGGATCATCAATAAGCGTGGGTTATTTACCGACCACTTCCTCGACAGAAAAAACACGGCGGGTGGAAAGAGTAAACGGAATGTTGCCAGGGTTTCGATTTGAGGGATCATTAATTTTGTCCCCTGGAGACATGTTTGGTTGTATGTGAAATATTGGGCCGGCTGTATTTTCTCTCGCGAACATAATATTTATTGTAAGCGACAACGCCGACGATGGAAACAACGAACAGCGTGTTTGAATGGTTTGTTTAAGCGCTTTAAGTTGGTTTTGTTGTAAGTAGATGTTTATATGAATATATATTAATGATGATGTTTATTTTAAGATTTTCTATTCTTGTCATATGAAGTCGTATTCTACCACAATGAAATCCTGTCTCTGTAAAGAAAACACAATATAGGTTTTTTTAGTAGAACAATTTATTAAATTTTTAAAGATAGTATCATGTGAAAGTAATATTTTAATAACAATTTTCTATTTTCCCCTTAATTTTTATTTATCATTAAAGTAAATAGTGTAAATGTAGAGAAAAAGGCCAAATTTCGTTAAAAGTCAAGGATGATAGTGATAATTTTACATTCTTACTATGTATATAGTATTATATATTGTTGTATTATATAGTATTGTATATTCTTACTATAGTACGTATTGATTTTCGCTGTAGTAAACATAAAGGCAGTAGTTATATTGCTTGCTCTGAGTCCCGATAATCGTTCTTTTATTAATCCATCGTCATCATCATCCATGGATTGGTATGTACGCCGGGTTTCAAGGTGTTGTCTACTCAGAGGTCCTGGGTTCGAATCCCGGTGGGGGCAAATGTTAGTATGATGAATACGAGCAGGTGTACCTTAGTCATGGATGCATATATATTTGTAGACTAGATAAAATATACTTATACATGTATCAGTTTATGTATTCTATCCGTTACCCTGATCTCATAAGCCTTATAGTGCTTACTTTGGGTATAGGTCAAGTGATGTGAGTGTGGGAAATATTTATTTACTTATTGTCAACTCTTCAACTCGTTCAATTGTACGAAAATCACAAAAGAAATAAAATAAACTAGATACTAAAGCTACGTTTGTTGTAAATTCACAACGAACAACTGAACTTTATAAAAGAAAAGTGCCTACATTTCAGGTGCTCTCGAAAAATTTTTATGAGATAACAACGGACTTCCTTTACGAGGACGCAGATCCTGATTTATAACAATAACTTAAGAGGTGAATTTTGTCACTGAATATGAAATATTTTTTTGTAATTTTTCCATAAAGATTAACTGGAAATAGAAAATGTAATTTCAGTTATATACAAGGAAAACCATTAAAGCTAAGGGAGAACCCTCGTGAATTCATCTCCGCTTGGTTTAAATCGTATTTTATTTCATAATACTTATAAACGCAAGCTAAGTTTACTATCCAAACTTAGCTATATAATATTCCACGATACACGCTATAATAGTATTCCACGATATAGGTTATACTTTAACGGGTAGGTGTACTTCAAAATCACAAACTAATCATATAATAAAATATTTTTTAGATTAATTCAGGGAACCTTTTCCCCCTTATTAATAAACAAGGAAGCTTAGACTATTTATGACGTGTTTTGTTCATATTATTCAAATGCCATTTGTCATTCAATAGACAGAGACAAAACATGGAGTTACTAGGGATTTTTTTAAAGCCAGTGTCAATACGCTCCTTCTGGGCAAGCTCGCTATACCTTAAATCCCATCTCTGCTCTTGGGCCGGATAGAGGATCCAGAGCTTACCAACTAATAAATAAAAAAGAAAAAAGAAAAGAAAAGAGAAATCGAAATCTTAGTTTCGATTTTCAAGCACTTTATAATTCGTTCAAAAGTTATAAAGTTGAAGCACATTCAAGATCATAGTCTACTCCTAGTTATACAATTATAACGCAATGAAGAATTGTCGACAAACACTTTTTTTAATTTAATTTATTACCTTATAATCCCCTAGGTCTGACACGGAGCATGTGAGTACGGCTTCCCTGCCCAGAGCCACAGTGACGTTTTCGATTGGTCCGAGGAAGTCAGGTTCGGCGTCCCTCAGGGAGGCCGTGGGGCCCACCCGGCTTAATGGTGAGGTAGTCTGATGCCGCATACTGCTTTTCACTACTGTAAACAAAACAGAAATCATTGTTAAAATTAACTGTCAAACCATAAACGAGATTTTTAAAATAGGTAGAGCATAGACATGCTTAGAACTCACGGGACGATTCTTACTTGCACTCGCCACGGGCGGCTGCAGAGAGGAGAAAATCTGCTGCTGCAGTTGCGAGATCGACCAAAACCTGTCGTGTCTGCAGGCGTAAATTGTGCCGTGAAAATACATTGGGAACTTTGCTATGGAAAATTACCCCATAGCGGACAAAAATTTCATAGATGGACACTTGATAACTAAACACACCCGTGGGGGGACGCCTTTGGTCAAAAGGGCCTTACAGGCTTCGCCGATACCAATTCCAGCAGATCCTTAGATTACAGAAATAAAAATTGCACAGGGATAAAGTTATATAATAATATACATAATTGTATACATCAATTGAAATATGTTTCGTTTGTGTTCGCTACATTTCGATAAGTGGGGCAAAATGTTCCCAATGTTGTTTTTTATTTTACATTCAACACGAGTTGCATCTCGTATCCGCGGTGGGCACAGGAGAAAATCGCGGCATGAGTTCTAAGCCTTAGAGTGAGAAGTTGTGAAAACCGTTTTTTAATCACTATAAAAACATTAACATTATAATACTCATGCACATTTCTGTAGCGAAATTCTCACAACAAATTGCATTTTGAGGTACCTGTACAACGATACACCTATTACAATCCAAATCATTTTTATACATTTTTATAAATGGGAGGTTCAGCTACAGTGTAAAGTTTATGAAGATTCATCTGTGCGTAGACATCATCTCCGAACATATAATCAGTAGTAAATTATGCAATAAAACAGGAGAATACATAGTGCCAAAGACGTCGAGAGCAGTATTTGACGACCACTTACAGAGAGATATGCAAGTCTGTTCTTATCCATGGTTGTGACCAAAAAAAATGAGATAGGTAAAATAAAATCAGTGGATCTAACCCGTTGAAACTTGTTTTATTTCATGAGTGATGTGCGTGAAAACCTAACAAACAAAAATGCTATAATGCTAATGATAGTTGTTAAGTTTGACAAAGAAAATGCAGTGAATCAATAATAATAGAACGTGATTGCGTTATTATTACTAAGATTATAAGTGAGTTTCCAAATTATCCAATCCGATATCCGATACCGATATCAGATCGAAAAAAGTGCAAACGCTCTAGTACCTAAATGTTTATTAGAGATAGATGAAAGTGAGTGTGTCTTGTTGCACATACGTTACAAATATATTATATGTTCAACTGCTGTTGTCACTATTATTATCGTTCATTTAAGATTCAATCAAGTAATCAGTTGAAATTAGTTTTTAGTAGAGATATTGACGTGCGATGCAATCTATAAGAGACTAAGAACGAGAATAACTAGAATTAGGTATTTCTCCGATTGAAGAAGAATACCTTGAGTGTACCTACATTTGATTTGTGTCACCCTATTAAAATAAAAAAAGTACAATAAAATGCAAACAATATCAATAAAGTATTTGTGAATACTATTGCACTAACTAAGATAAAAACTTAAAGAATTTCTTTTACCAGAAATAATTTCACGCGGTCCCTGGACCAGGTGGACCTGCCTGCAGCAGGTTTTCTAGTAAATATAATTGTAAAAAAAACCCTATTTAACTTGTAAATTTACATTGTTGATTGCAATAACATAATATGAAAATATTTTAACAATCTTGTTCATCCTACATCATTTTGCAATCTTACAATTAGCGTATAACAAGAGCAAATTCGCAAATTCAAATTTGAAATTCAGTATGGGAGACTTGAGTCTACACTCAATTATAAAACAAACTATATCCGCGTATAGTTTCAATCCAAGTTAAATTCAAATTATCCTAGTCCGCTTAGCGTTGGATTTGCATTCCTTGGATATTTTATGTAAATTACATATTATTTCCTAATCTGCTTACCGAAATTCGAAATGGGAGGTTAATATTGATGGATAAGTTGTTAGAAATACTTTTTCACTTTTAAAAAGGTTATTCGCGTACTTCACAGTAAATAACATTTGTTTTAAGAGATGTAGTCATAAAAGCAAAGCCGCAAAATATTGAATTTAGTAATATAACAAATTTACTCATTGTGATTTAGTTTACTTGAATTTCGATTTTTTTAGTGTAATGTTGCTACTACCAGCTGTAAAGTTTTCTGATCACTAAAAGTTACAAGGTGGCAACGCACGAGTGATGCGCTGGAATTAATCGCAAATATCTATTTATCACATCTATTCGAAAGGACTTAATTTGTTCTCCGTTTACAGGAACCAAAATAGCTTTTAAGTCTCTAGCAACTAATATCGATTTGAATTTTGAGTGAAGATATTGTTATTCAAAGTTCCAATCACCAAGGAGAGCGATCATGCACATCTTATGAAACAGGTCACAGGCTGTACAAAAACCTAAGTGTAGCTTTTCTTCGGCCAAGTTAAAAACTAACCACTGGCCAATAAAAATAAAGTATGTGAAAAAATAAAAAACGGGTGAAATACTTTCTGCCTTCGTGCATTATTTTTTACCGAAATTTGGATTTTATTTGGTTTTGTAAAAATAATTGTGTGTCTTCCTCAAGTAGTGAGAATGAAATTATTATATTAACTATCGAAAATATTACATCGGACGCTAAATCTGTTAGTTGCATTACTTATTTTCTCATAGATGGTGAGTGAGCGGTAAAGTGTATACATCAGGAGCAACACAATTTTTAGCGTAAATTAAATAGCTCGCTGAGCTCAGGATTCTACTTTAAAATACGGAGCATTACGAGGGATTTCTTAAAAATCAAAAAACGCTGTCGCGTTTAAAATAGTGCTTTAGTAAATAATCAAATATTATACACTCAATGCTCAATTTGTAGTTAAATAAAGTTGCGTTGAAGTCCCTTTGGGTATTAATGACATTTAAATGTTGAACGCCAAAATGGCCACATAAACTTCTATCAAAAAAAGTTTCGAAAAAAAAGCAAGTCTGTTCAAGCAAGTATAACTTTTTTGCTCCAAGGAGATTTAAACTGTGAAATTCGGCAATCAAACAGACCAATGAAAAACGTTCAACAAAAGAACTTGGCTGTTAACTTAATTGACTGTCTTTTGCTTACGCAACTAAAATGTAAAGAAAAAATCAGTGAATTTAAATCCCCGATTTTTACCGCAAATTGTTATATTTTTGTCATTTAAAATGCCCATTTATCAATGGGCATTTTGGCGACTCCGATATAGAAACGGTAGCTCAAAAAATTACTGACGAGATTTTGTCCAAAAAATCTAAAGATCAATCAATAAAAGTTTATGAAGAGTTTAAAAAATCTATCTATTGTATAACTGGACTAATGTTTCTAATATAACATTTAATTTTTAATTGCACGAACGTTTTGAATTTTTCTTTTCTTTTTTCTTTTATCTCTTAGTAGGTGTATAAAGTAGAGTATGCTCAACGGGGATTAACGTGTCTTAGTCTTGGTCATACTTAAATCCGTCGCTTCATTCAGGTTTCTTAACATCTACAGAATCCTACACTTCGCTCAGAATTCAACATGCTGCTCATGACATAATATACCGTGTAATCCCTTTATGCTTAGTCTACTTAGGTTATGCCTATCTCTCTTGTTTCTGTGTAGTTAAACACATTTTTGTACTTATATCGAACAATACACAACAGGTACAAACAGTGATATAAAATTACCTCATATTTCATAAATTTAAGCCTGAGATGATGATCTTTTTCTGTGAAAAAAAGGTCTTCAAAGATGTGACAGTTGGGACTCTTATTTTATAGTCTACTCCAGATTTACAATTACTTTTGAAGGTTTGTAAGAAACTATTAATGTTATCAGTGCAAATAATTGTATGTGTATACTTAAAAGTTCAAACTTTCGATACGTAAAGATCTCGTTTGTTTAATTATAATTTTCAGCAAATTTCAAATAGGAGAATGTGTCGGGACAAGTAACAAATGCATGTGATCTATAAACCTATATTAAAATTTTATAATAAAATATGCGCTTTCTGTTATTATGAAGTTGTTTACATATTATCCTGCCTCGAACACATCAACGTTTTCATTAAATTCATTATAAATTCGGTTACCATTGGTATAGATAGTTGGCTCTGGTAGCATTTCAATAATTTCTAACATCATTACGATACATCGATGGCATAACTTAATCTCATAATCATTTATCAGTTTAGGCTGTTACAAGCACTCATGAAAATCTACAAGTTACGTCATCGGTTCGAAAATCTACGGCGGAAGACCTTGTACTGAGAAGACGCGACAAGAAAGTCAGCAATGGCTGTTTTTTCTCTCCCTGTATTAATATTAAAGAGTCACCAAGTTAAAAAAAAAACTTTTTGTTCACTCACAAATTGTTTTGCTTCATCTCCTTTCGAAACATTTTTCGTGTAAGTACATCCTTTATTTCCCTTTACTTTAGAAGGCTTCTCTGGAGACCCCCGATAGATAGTGACAGTTTTTCTACTGTTACTAAAACAACAGAACCAGGCAGAATAGTACTTTCACTTGTCATGTTTGAGAAGAACCCGTCGGAGAACTGGCACTTTCATCAACATCTATAGTTTTCGCTGCTTTCAGCTTGTTCCTGTATAGTTTTTCTCAACACAGAGACTTTGTTTCTTGGTCTGAGTTATTCACAGCTACCATTCTTCTTTTCCTTAGTTCCTTCTCTACCTATCAAAATATTTTTCTTTTATTCGGGTTTTCTTTTTGTGTGGCCAAACAAACGTTTTCGCTCTGCCGCGTCCATAGGCATATAAATCAACACCGCAACAACTTCATGCCGTGCGAAATAATATCAAAAATCAATAAACCCAGGAAAAAAAGGAATGATATTTTGTATTAAACGATATTCGTAGAAAAACAAATATTTGCTACTTGGGATCGTGACGGTAGGCACTGTGATGGTCGGCACACTTAATATTAATTTCCAAAAAGCCCAATGGCCTAAAGCTA